AAAAAAAAAAAAAAAACCAAAAAAAAAAGGGAAACAATATTCACCTTCCCCCCAACTTTCAATTTCGTTTACATCACTCTCGCCTTCGCTATAAGTGCTGGCAGAGAGAGCTTAAGCGCCTCGTAACTCTTCGGATGCTGCAGGATCATCGCTCGGCATGCCAAGTCGTTGCCAATGCCCCAGAGTGCACGGTTCCCCTGCAGCAGGATTGTGTCCATCTCCTGATACTTGAGCATTATGTCAATAATGAGGCTTGTGAGGTTCACAAGGCAGTGCTGCCCACCAAACGACAAAAGTCCACCATCAGAGAAGCATATCTCTATTGCCTTCTTGTGCTGTGCAATCTCTCCGAGAAAGTTCATGAGAACCTCCATGAGGAACACCTGATCCTGTTTTCCCTCCGCCAGGTACACGACGTGCTCTAAAATGTGAAGGGCCACTAGTGTCTCTGCGTTTTGCGGATCAGCATAGAGAAGGGTGGTGAAAAAGCTGAATCCAAATTTCTGCAGCACAGTTGTTTCCTTGAATCGCTGCAGCGCGGCGTGGACAAGTCTCAAGGCGCGGTATCCAAGTGCCCCCGCGAAATCTGGTTTGTGGCTTCCTGTTGAAATGTTGTGAAGGAGGACGGTGGCAAACTCCGCAATCTCCTCGTTCCCCGGGTAAGCCTCCATTGCATCGAGGATCATCTCCACTCCGTTCCCCTCCACAAGCAGATGCTGCGAGTCCGTCTCACCAAAGCTGACGTTCCACATCGCACGAAGGCACAGATAGACGATCGCCTCGTCGTTCGCAAACTGCCGCAGGCTGGTGACGATGCACTGCACCCCGCCAGACGTCAGGATACTCTCCACAAGATTCGGGCGTGACGTGTGTTCGCACAATTTCTCCGCCGCCGAGCGTGCAATCTCGCGGTCAGTGAAGTTCGCCATAATCAATACAATCCGTGCTATATCGTTTTCAACATACCACGTGTTCCACACTTCATCAAACGTAACTTGCTGTTGAATGCGTTCTAACTGCTTGTTCGCGAAGAGATGCTTCACAATGGAGACAATAGATACAACGCGGTTCACCACGCCCTCCCGGTGATGGCGCACCTGCGACTGCAAGCCGATAAGTTGGCCACAATCGTTAAACGCAGGGCATCCAGCTGTCCGCACGTTCCCGCTAGCTTTGAGGTAGAATAAATCTTCGCGGCAGCGCAGCACTTCTTCAAACCGTTTCACCTCCACCACCGAGGCGTTTTCATCATCTTCCGGGTCGTCGTGAGTTGTGGCACTCTCACCGCCGGTGTCTTCACCTACGGGGTGCTGCACCACGAGTATGACGTCACCCTCCCGCACGGCTGCCCAATCCTTCTTGATGAGCGGCAGCTTCGCTGGCGTGACGTTGAAGATGCCGTACTGCTCACATGCCACGAGACAGTAATCCATATAGTCCGGGTACGACGCGGAGAAAAATAAATTCTGCGGTAGCAACTTGACCTCAACCGGCTTCTTCTTTGATCCCTCAAAGAAGACAGCGGTGAGTTGACTGGCAACCGCCGGGGAGTTCACAACGTGCGTGGAGGTGAGCAGAATGCCGGGTGATATAAGTGTGGCGGTGCCGCGACCCTTAATGCGGCAGACAGCAGGGATGTTCGCTCGATTGCTGCTCGTCAATGTTGATGCCATCGCTTATCTGTCCTTGTTTTTTTTTGTGTTTAGGATGCCTTCCCCCTCTACACTTCGCTTTAGAATTAACAGTGAAAAGTCAAAAGAAAACTCGTCATACCAAGAAAACAACCGAATCAGGTAATGGGCCGTGGGTACACACCCAGTAAAAAAAAAAAAAAAGAAATGCCCCCGCTGACCACCTCCACTCAAACGATAATCACTAATAAAATACAAGAGACGTAGAACAAAGATTCCTTAGACAGAGAAGCATCCACGCTTGCTTGCTTGCCTCTAAATATCGAAGGCGGGCACACAGGCAGTACAGCAGACGCTTCCCAACGCATCGGCACAGGGGAAGTGAGGCGTTTCTCACAATTTTTTGTTTCGTTCCTTTTAACGTTTTTATCCTTTTTCTTGACCTCTGTCGGCTTCTTCACTATACAATGGCTTTGCTAGGGATACTCCCACTGTTTTTAACGTCTCGCATAGAGTTGTAGTTCTCACGAGTCGCGAGGTCGCCAAACGTGTAGGAACTCCTACAGCTAAAACAAAAGGCTGCCTTGCTGTCGGGCGGTCCAGTAAGTGTAGCAGAACACGAGGTGAGTCGCATCATGCAATGTGGACAATTTCCAAAATCAACCACTTCTGATGTGGCGTGAAAATTCTGCAGCTCTACCTCAAGTATCAGATTTTCACGTATGAGGTCCACATCCGTCCTACGCTCGAGTGATTCTTCCTTTGGTTCGAATTCATCATCACAGATCCTCCCCAATGAGACGGGCGATGGCGTTGTTGCTGGTGCTGTTGTTGCAGTCGATCTCTTTGATCGACGCCCCCCCGGGGAAAATGCGCCCTTCTGCAAGCACCACACTGGTCCCGCGGCCCTAAAGGACACCTTGCGACCAGTAGAGAGACTTCTCATTGGCTGCTCATGCAACTTCGCCACCGCGCGCTCCGTCTCGAGTTGTACTTCCTTCAGTTGCGACTCCAGGACCTCAGTTTTTTTCTGCTCACAGCGCAGCTTCGTTCTCGCCTTTGCGAGTTCTTGCTGCATCGCAGCCAAAGCGGCATCCTTCTGTTGAGCTAGAATCTCCGTGCTGTACGGTTTCCTACTCCGCTCGTTCTTGAGCCCGCGTTGAAGATACTGGAGCTGGTGTCTCGCGTTTGTCAGATCACCCTGTACTTGCTTAAGTTGTGTTTCCAGCCTGGTGCACTGTGTCTGGCTATTGGAAAGATCTTCCTGTGCCGCAGCAAACCGGCTCACAAAAGGTTCCGCTTCATTCAGCTTCACACGGAGTTCTTCATTCACATCGCCCAGCTTGGCAATTTCACACCGCTGTGATTGAACCATCACGCTCGCTCCGGCGAGGGTATCGATCACACCCGCCACAGTGTGAAGCGCTGCAGCAATCCCTTTTGTGTCCCGAACAGGACAGAGATCACTGTCAGCGAAGGACAACGCCTCTGCCGCATTCCCCGCCACCGAGCGGTGCCGCTCGGCAGTGTGTAGCAGCAGCCGAAGTGCCTTCTGCAGGTCATCCGAGAAGTCTACATCCATCTCTCCGGCGCGGATGCGGTTTTGGAAGATATAATCCTCAAAATTAGACACCACAAAAGGGGGTGAGACATCATCGATGAGTTTCGCACCCTCACGCAATTTAGCCCAGGCTTTCCCTTCGATGAGACCATTCGCCATGTGTTGCGCCGCCTTACACTGCCACTTCCGCCAATATCTCTGTAGCAGTGTCTTTTCGGCGACATCGCTCAGCGATGCCACTGCACGCCTCACAATACGCAGCAGGCGTGGTTCTGTGGTGGGCGACCATCTCTGTCGCGGCCGCGTGACGGAGGACCACGACCTTCCAGAGAGAGGGTACTCAAACTCGCTCAGGAAACGTTTTGCCGTGTCAAAGTGATCCCTCGCCAGCATGTTGGTGGCCGCTTCGAAGGAAAGTTTCTTTGGCATTCGGTCAGGTTTGGTACCTTCCACCTTCGTCACATCGTACTCGTTAGCATCCGCATCTGGTACGGAGTTACCGTCCGTTTCTGATAATGGTTCCTCGAGGGGCTCATGGCGAATGGGGGAAAGAAACTTTTGGAAACCATATGACTCAACCTGTAAATTGTTTTCCGCAGCAACAGAAGCCATCGGCAGCGCTTGCTTTGAAATAACAGTTTCATCAGGTTTGCTGACATCCTCGGTACCCAGCGCCGATGCCCGGTTAGGCACACTGTCACCATTATTCACATTGCTTACTGTATTAGCATCAGGTGTGTCGGCGTCTGTAACAACAGCCACAACACAAGCATTGCCCTTATTTTCTCTCTCCATCCCTAGAGGCAATGGTGAGATTTCAGAAGAGTAGTCGGCAGCAATGGGCGCGTCTGCACGTGTGGCATCATCACTGCTAACAGAGGACTGTGGGCAGAACGAATTAGCATTCGGCTCCGGGCCATACTTTTTTACGAGCTGTCGAATGACAGCTTCCTCTCTCCCTTTGAACTTACGCAGCGTGGCGTCCACCGTTCCAATCTTCGCCGGCTCATACCTCTGGTAGATGGAAATCAGGCGGCTGCGATAACTTCCCGTTACGCTCTCATCGAAGACTGGAGAGAGAGGAACTGGCGTGTTTGGAGCATGCTGTGAGTTGGCACCATCGCAGACCGGCACTTCTTCAGTGACGGGCGGCTCCGGGCCGTACTTCTTTATCAGCTGACGTATCACCGCCTCCTCCTTCCCTTGAAATTTTTGCAACGTCCCGCTCACTGTGCCTAGTTTTGACGGCTCGTACTTACGATAGATGGCGATAAGGCGGTCGCGGTAGCTTGCGGCAGCGTTAACTACCGGAACTGGTGTTGACAATCCCAGAGAAGCTTCTCGATCAGGCGAGAGAGGGGATGCCCCACCACTGTTGAAGCCGTCACGATCCGGTTCCGGTCCGTACCGCTTTATAAGCTGCCGAATGACGGCATTTTCCTTCCCCTTGAACTTTTTCAGCGTAGCATCGACTGTTCCAAGCTTCGCTGGTTCATACTTGTTATAAATCGCCAACAGTCGGCTGCGATAATCCCCCCGAGGAGACAAGGGAGAGGAAACTGCCGTTGCCGCCGCTGCGGAGAAATGCTGCTGATTGTGGTGGCCAAGGGGCTGAAGCACCACAACGTCAGCAGATGAAGAGAGACCAAGAGAAGCTGGTGTGTCTTCTTCTCGAATGACACGTGGAGTGGACCTCACCTTTCGGTCGTGCATTTCAGCCACGTGCAGTTGAAACTTTTCCCACAGCGGGCCCTTTCCTACGGCTTCTTGAATCATTGTAAAAATATCACTAAACGGCGTCTCCGATGCAACTTCCACGTGAACTTTAGACTTCACCGGACCTCCGAGAACGTACAGCTTCATTAGCGAGAACCAGACTTCCCAGCTACTGGAGTTCCGTCGCGGTGAAGAACACGGCTAGATTCTTCAAAAAAAAAAAAAGTACTCCTTTACCTGCTGTCTATAGAACCAGACATACCGAATAGAGAAGAAAATCAAAAAAAANCACAGTACATGAAATAGATTAATAAATAGCACACCAAGCACATAGTCATATATATATATATGTGTATATGTATATCAGGTATTTCACAAATCACACGCGCAGCTCCAACAGCAGTTCGCCAAAACGGCACTCTCTCTATTTGCCCCCTCCCCCGACAAATTGTAAATCACAAACGAAAAAATAAAAGGAAGAAGCCACGCACCGTCATTCAGTAATCATCATTCAATCCACTCCCTTCCTCCTCTCCTCTCTAAACAGAGCTCCTCACAAAGCCTACAGTCGCGTAAATGTCGTCACTCGCACAGTACACCAGATGCACACACCTCTTCCACCTAGAATCCGGTCCTGCAGCACTCAACAAACATGAACAGTCATCACAGAAGATATCTATTAACACACAGACCACTAAAACATCACGGGCCAGTGGCGGTAACACACACAGAGACGTCACTTACCAGAGTACCCCCCAGCTGACTCACTCCGTCATTATGGATATCGTTCAACCAGGTCGCGTTAACCCGCAAAATTATGGGTCTTCTATGAATACCATATCAGGCAATGGGCCCCCCAATCGTATACAGAGCCGCAGCGGAATGCCGAATACCCTTCGAGGCGGTGGCCATTCGGCAAAGCAGCAGCCCTTCATTCCGCCTGAATTCATCCCTACGCTCCAGCACACGGCGCACGTCACCCCCCACCGTATAATTCTTCAGCGCCCCCCATGTGTCCACCGCACCCTGCTGCAGCACCACGCTGCCAGACGGACGGTACTGTTCGAAGGTCCACTGCCCATGACGCGCCACAACCGCCTGGCTCACAATGCGCTGGAACGCCGTTGCCTCATCGCAGGCCAGAAAAGTGCGTTGCAGGTGCTCAGCGCACACAAGCTCAACAACGCCTACACGAGCATCGGCAGAGGTTGGTGTTGCCATGGCTCTGGACAGCCACCCTTACCTTCCTAATGTGCACGAACGTGTGTCTATCACTTGACCATGAAGCAAGGAAAGGATGCATGCAGTGTTCGTCGAGGGGGGGAGAGGAGGAGGAGGAGGCGGAAGAATAGAGAGAGCAAACTCCACCAAGAGAGAACCAACTCGGCAGTTGGAGAGCAATAAGTTCACACTCACAATAAGGGAGAACAAAAGCGTTATCAAACCCACCAATCGACAAAGGAAACGCGAGGGTCTCACCTGTTTCTCCTTTCCTCAGAAGAGAAAAAAAAAGAAGTGAAATGAAAAGTAACATTCCCTCAGGGAGTCATCGTCTAGTCTCTTCTGGTTCCCGCAACATTGACGTTGAATAATGCCTCATTACGACATGCCTTTCGAACAAAAACTCCTCCAAGGACTACATGAGAACCAAGCACAAGTAGTGAGATATCCTTCAGCTCAATCCATCCTCCAATCGCAACGCTGCTGGGGTGGTCAGAAGGGAAAAATTAGTGCTGCAAAACAAAAGAGAGAGAAGCATCTAACCTTTATCCAACCATCCCCTTCTCGATTCACGTTTTCAGCCGATGTGCCTCGTCCTCCCTCTTCGCATTATTCGAATAATTTCTCCTTTCTTTTCTCCTTTTTTGTTCGTACGCCTCTTTTTTGGTTTCTTTTGTTGAATTCCTTTTTTTTTTTCGGGGGCAAGCCACACATTTCTTCAGCGATGTTGAGTGCGCAAGTGTCGCTTCCGCCAAGTGGCTATTTGGTTGCCTCACGAATTATGTCATCACGCAGACGACGTGCCAGGTCAATCGTCATCTTCTTTTCACCATCCTGAAGACCATTCGATTTTGCGTTTGGTTTCTCACCGTTGGCAGCAAAATCCTTAAGCTCCTTTTCACGGTTCGCCTTGTTCCGTAAGAGGATCTTTTCACGCTGCTCACGCATGTATTTGGCACGGGCTTCCATTTCCTCCAATGAGGGTGCGGCTTTTGTTGGATTTGCCTCGGGCTGCTGCTCGGGCGGCTTGGCGGTCGCCGGAGCGACTTTCTCCGCCACCTTCGCTTCGAGCTCCTTGAAGGAGGGCTGAATGGAGGGAAGCGCCTTGAAGCCGAAGCCCTTAGCGGCAGTCACACGCGCCGGTGCGGCGGAATTGGACGGGGCCGATGCTGAGGGTGGCACCGCAGCTGGCACTTTCTGCTGCGGCTGCGACTGAGACTGAGGAGCAGAAACACGTTGTGGTGTGTTGTCTAGCGATGGCGACCCTGATAGGGAAGCCGGCATCTCCTGTGTTGCAGTGATGCGGCGCAGCATGGTTTCCTGACGCACCTCAAGTGCACGGGCCTCCAGTTTTTGAACATTCTGTACCTTCTCCTCTTCGAGAGCCTTTAGCTTTTCCTTGGACGCTTCGGAAGTGGGGCCACCCGACTGTGTGGCCTCCTTCTCCACTTCAGTGGCCACGCGTCGCGCTCGCTCCTCCTCCGCAGCGATAGAGAGGGCGAGGGCTTCTTGTATCTGAACATCCTCCAATTCAATACGCTTCTGCATAATGTTGTCATCCTGCAGTGAGGCCTCAATGGCCAACTTGAGCGCCGTTTCTTCGTCAATCGCCGCCTCGTCAAGGTTGGCGTTGTCGGCGTCTTCACCGTGTTTCTGTTGTTGTAGCAATGCGCGAGAGGCTAGAATATCCAGCTCAATATTCCGACTCACCATCATCGTGTGGAAGCAGCGGAAGTCGTCCATGTAGAAGACATACTTAAGGAACTGTTCGGCGGCCTCCTGTGTGGGGGACACGTCACGCCTGGAGTTATGCACCGCCGCGATGACCCTCTCGAGCGTGACGCCAATGTCCTTCACGAAGGAGGTGAGAAGGTCGTCGATGAGCTTCCGAAACGCGATGTGAATCTCTGTCTCTTCCACCTTCATCTCCCCGTCGTCAGAGAAGATCCAGCAGTTGTCATCCACAAAATTATTGACGGGTGTGCGCCACAGCGGCGAGTGCGTGAACTGCACAATCGATTCCGTGATCCAGCTGTCGTCGGTCATACTATTTGTAAGAATATGTTGTTGTTGCTTGTATAGTGTTGGTGGTTGTTGCTCTTTACCTCAATCGTGATTTATAAGATACCCTACGTCCACAATTTGAGTGGAGGGGAGGGGCCCGGCAATAAAAAGGATAAAAGAAAAGCAACGGTAATAAAGAAAACGCATGTAGTCCCCTTCCCACACACGCACACACACACACACACACATATTCTCTCTCTGTTTTGTCTGGTTAATTCGCACGTTATACGAATGACTCGTCGGCACGGCGAAGACCGCAGCCTGCGCATGCCTCTGCCTCATCGAGGTTTGTCGCCTCGCAATTCCCACACATCCACGAGGAAATGCGGCTGTTCCAACCTGTATCGTCATCATCCCCAATCTCGCCGCCACCTTCAAATGTCTCTTCCTCTTCCCCTTCCTCTTCCTCTTCCTCATCGTCTTCGTCAACGTCATCCACAGAAAGAGACATCACCGCCCTGGAGCCACTGACGGAGGTCTTTGCTGTATTTTCACCAACAGTATGAGCCTCAGTTTCGTTCTGTCGCAGTCGCTCGGTTGACGTGTCGGTGTGTGTGGTGGGAAGAGCCGCGTCACGAAATTCCTCCCCAGGAGAAGCAATAGTCGCACCATCTGTCATCTTTGCACCCTCCACCGCTGACGCTGCCAAGGCCGTGACTGCAAATAGAGAAGAGGCACCAGACAGAGAAATTGAAGACCCCGCCTCACTGATAATATGTGAAAGGTCCACACCGCAGCGTTCGCATCGCTCCTGTTCATTCAAAAGTGTCAGACGGAAGCACGAGGTGCATGTGGTATGGGTACGCAGATTTTCCAGCAGACGTTTTTGACCGCAGTCCGCGCACAAACTCGCCGCACAGACGTTCGCCAGCCCGCAACTACGGCATTGCCAGCGGCTAGGAAAGCACATGCTTCGCTCTGTTCGATCGGAACTGCAGCGGGGACACTGATTGCGCTCCTGCAACTCTCCCCCAGAGGCAACAGCTGTATTGCATACGTCACACACCCATGTGATTTCCCTCATATCAAACTGCCGCGGGCCACCACACGCGCTGCAGCGGCGGTTGTGCTTCTCATTTTCTTTGAAGCCACAAGCCTCACATTTCCACTTGTCCGAAGACAGCCGTGCCCGACAATGAAAGCATCCCTTACGCAACGGGTGGTTGGGGGCACAACAGTGCTGGCACGTCACGATATCAACAGGGGTCTTTGCTGCGCCACAGGAGCGGCACACCCTATCGGAGGCATGTTGGCACCTCGACCCGCACTTCGCACACTGCCAGTGGTGTGGGTGCGCAGAGCCGCAGCGGAAGCACACAAAGGTATCCGTGGTGTTCTTGCACCGGCACATCAGGCAGCGCCACGGCTTTTCAGGCGGAGCTGCGCCGCAACCCAGGCACTTGCTTCGCTCGTCACGATTCGTGCTGCAGCATGTTGTGCAGAGCCAATAGCCAGGCGGAAGCTCACGGTGAGCCCCGCAACACGACATCACCATGACATCCACTGCTTTTCTGCAGTATGGACAACGCCACTCACCAGGAACAGAAGAACTTCCAACCACCTCACAAGCCGCCCTGTGCTCCTCTCTGTCACAGCGTTCGACCGCAGAATTTTGCGACCGTGGTTCCTGGCACTTCGTACAGTTCAATAGTGAGAGGTCAGTATTACGATGGGCGCACGCGTGGCAGATCCACTCGGGCACCGGCGTCTTGTCTGCTTTAACCTCCAGGCCTGTCCCAGCCGCAAGGACCTTTGGCTTGAGGCAAATGTCACAGAACCGGGCATTGCGACGCTGGAAAACCTGGCACCCGGCGCACCACCAAGTGCCGTCCTCGCGTGCTTCGTCTTTTGATGCACTGACGTTAACCTGCTCATTCGACACGGTCATTGTCACACTGTTTTGCTTCTCGTCCTCTGTTTCCTGAGGTTGGTGATCCTCTTTTTCTTCCAAGGGCAGTGCCAATACTGACTTCTCATCCCTCGTTTCTGTGATTTCTTCAACGTTGGCACTGACGGGGCATGGCACAGACGCGGTGCACTGCTGAATTGAAACTTCAGCGTTGGGCAACACCCCCGCTGATTCATTCACGCTAAGAGCCCTTTCCTGCAGCTTCGCCACGGTGGCCATCATTGTCAGTGGCGTCATGCACAGGATGCACATTTCCCACTGTATGTCGTTGCGCTGGCGGCATGTCGGACAGAGCACGGTGGAGTCTGACACCAACCTCCGACGTGTCGACTGGCAGTTGCTGCACTCTGTGAAGAAGACAGAATTTCCCGCGTGGTTGCATGTGGAACATACCCAACTATGCGGGCGCGCCTCGTAGCAAGTAGCGCACTGCGTCGAACCACGTGAATTGATGTGGTGACACGAGGGGCAGTACCACTCCCGCACGCCACTAAATCGTTCTCCGCAACCTCCACAGTAAAATTTGCTGCGGATGTTCGTATTGGTGTGATCCACCTGGTTTGTGTGCCCACACGAGTGACATGTCCATGTTGTGGGAAACAACGGAATATGGCGCGCAGGAGGAGAGTTGTGTTTAAATGACTCCACATCTCGCTGCTTACATCGCCTACATGTCTTACGACCAACGAAGTTGTACGTGCGGCATCCACAACACATCCATTCAAGTGCCGGTTCCTTCACAGGACTTGCACCCTCCTTGATGAACTTTGTGTGCATCACCCGACGCACATGTGAGTACCTGGAAAGTTGGTCATTGCTACGCCGTGACTGTGTTATGGGCAGTTTGCTCAAGGGTGGGGCCACGGTGTCAGCTCCTTCCAGTATCGCGTCCGTAAGCGTGGCTCCACCTTCCGATACGGGCGTAGCAAGAGGAACGGCCACAGCGGGCATCGTGCCAGCCTTTGATGAAGCCCCCAACGAGGCTACTGGTCTCGTCGCTGTTGTCGTATGGGGAGTGTCCTGCACAAGGAGCCGCGCGAGGTGCTCCTCATCCTCCATGTCGTCCTCAGTGAGTGTGAGGCCGAGGGAAGACGAGGAAGACAAGGAAGACAACACTGACTGAGTCATACTCCGCACAGCAACAAAGACGCGCAATGGGTGAATAAGCCGACGCATTACAATTTCACCCACCCTACTCGTCGAGCTATTAGAGCGAGAGAGAGAGAGAGAGTGAATGACGAGAGAAGACAACGACAGAGTATAAGTAGAAATGATTCACTTTGCTGCTACTACTTCTACGCAGCAGACCTTCGCTCCTCTCCAAATACACCAACATAAGTAAAATGCATGACTGAATGAACACAGAAGGAATGACAAAAGGACGTGCCGTAAGACACGCCTCTCTTTTCCCCTGAACACCCAAAGTGAGTGTATTTCTGTTTTTTCGGGGTCTTTGTGTATGCTCGTGTGAAAAGGGGAGGGTGTAGGCTGGAAAATGGTAACGACAGTGTTTCATATCTTGACTGGTTTGCGAACAAAGGCTCGGCGTGGAGACACTGCAACGGTCTTCGCTGCGCCACACTTATGGCACTCTTGCCGGTTTTTGAAGTTCTTGGAGAAACACTTTCCGCAGGTCCAGTCATCGCTCTTCTTGCCCCACACGCTAACTTGACCATCCGCCACAGCGTCACTCACACCTTGTTGGAACCCCTCCTTCTCAAAGTGCGGTGTGGAGTCGTCCTCCGACCACGATGTCGCACCCGACTCCGAAGAAGCACGGCTACACTGCCAACATGTTGTACGCGTGCGGAAGTTGCTCGCCTGGCAGTAGCGACAGAACCAGTTGTTGTGGCTGACGGAGAGTTCAGGCGCCGGCTCCTCGCTACCGGTAGCCTGCGGCACATCCGAATTTCCACGTGGGGCGCCGCACTGATAGCAAGCCGTGCGTGACGCAAAGTTGAGACCTTGACACTCCACGCAGTGCCAATCCTGCCGCTGCATCCGCTGCCTTCTTCCACCACCACCACCACGAGCAAAAGAATTTCGTGTTGTACAAACGTCACGTGCATCCTTCGGCTCGGTTTGGGGGCGCGCCTCATTACATTGACGGCAGGCGCGATCGTAGATGCTCGTCGCCGTTCTACAGGATGAGCAAACCCATGAGACTGGAATCGTGATGTGACAGTTGAAACACTTCGCACGACTCAAGTGATTCATTGCACCGCAATGACAACACTCCCATTCGGCAGGTGCAATGTGTGTGCCGCACTTGGAGCAACACTCCTCGTCACCAGGATTGATGGTGCCACATTCGGGCTCACGGCACATCCAATCAAAACCAGGCGGCCCTATGGGTGTCCCTAGCGGCAATGAACGCTTTGGCTTCTTGAAAATGCGCGAGTGCGATGTTTCCGGCTGTGCCGGCGCGAAGCTCTTTACGTCTGGTATATTGATGGGCACCACACGCGGGGCTGTCGCCGGCGGCTGTCGCAAGGCGTCAGGGAGGCTGGAGGCGCCGGCCGTCTCGTCGCCAAACTGCTCGTCGGCGTCATTGGCAGTAATGCTGTCGAACTGCTCCTGCGCCTCACGAAGACGGGCTGATTGTTCCTGCTGGATCCTGAGCGCCTCCGCCTCTGTCATCGTCATGGGGGCCATGTCGTACCCGCAGTACCCACAGCGACTGTTATCGTCGAGGTCGTCAACGCGGTTATTTTTTTCACAGGCCGCGCACATCCAGAAATCTTTGCTATCCTCAGCGGCGGCGGCGCACTTGTGGCACTTCTTCACCCCTTTGTGATTACGTGTCCCGCACTCTACACAGAGCCACCCCTTGAGGTTCGGCTTTTCAGCGTTACACATCTCGCAGTGGGGAGCACCTGGGGCATTCACGTGGTGGCACTCCTCTTTTACGCACATCCACACGCGATTCACGCGCTGTGCCCACGACTGAAAGAGGATTGGCGTCTGCGTCGAGAAACTGACAACACTCACACAATATGATGTGTTGTACATGTTGCCCGTGGAGAGATTGCCACATCGGACAATAGGAGAAGCAACAATTCCACTGGTCAGCCTGCGCCAACGGGACGCTGAGGCGGTCACTATGGACCGTCTGCTCACGCAGCAATTCATCTATCTTTTCTTTGTGTTCTTTTGCCTTGGCTATACGAAGGCAAAACGCTGTGAAAGACGGAAACGGCATTAATGGAGTGCGTCACGTGGAAGCCGTAGCCCAACACTCCCCACTCTCTGTCACAGAGAATGGGCACTACCATTCAAACCTTCTCAAAGGTGAATATATCTTATGCTTGTTTCATGCGGAATTACTCACTTATTCAAATATATTTGATAAAGAAAAAAAGCCTTTTTGGCTAAGCGCCTTAATAGAGACTTGCCTTATTCCGGGGAGGGAAGTGTGACGCAGAGATACTTCCTTCTTGCTTTCGTCTATTCCGTTTTTCAAATACCTGGATGTAGTTGCGTCCACAATACACCGGACTGTCCTCTTCCTTCCCCGTTTCATTCATTTCCTTTTCTTTCCTTCTTTTTGCTTTCTCTCTCTCTCTCTCCCTGTCGCCTCCATCGATGGCGTTAATAATACTCTTTCTCCGCTTAGATCTTATTCCAGGCGACAATGTCCATCGACTGCACCTCATTCTCAAACGACATCACCATATCCTCCAGATCGTCACCAGAAACCTTGTCGTCCTCAATAACGATGAGCTGCTGCAGCTTCTTCACGCCGAACGCCACCGGCACCAGCTTGTGGTCGCCCCAGAGCAGACCGTCACGCTGGATGGCGTGCAGCTTACCGGCCAGCGCCTCAAGATCGACGGTGTCATCCCACGGCTTGATGTCAAAGAGGATAGAAGACTTCGCAATGACCACCTTCTTCGCCTTCTTGGCTTCAGCGTCCTTCTTCTTCTTGGCCTCGAGCGCGGCTGTCTCCTCTTCCGTGGCGTCGCCGAACAGATCAATGTCGTCGTCGTCATCCTTCTTGGCGGGGACGGGGGTTTCCTTCTTTGGTGCCTCCTTCACCGGAGCAGGTGCAGCAGCAGCAGCAGCAGGAGCCGTTACCTTCACTGGGGCGCCCCACGCCTTGCGTTCCGCCTCTGTAAAGGAAGCCACGTTCTTCACCCAGCGGCAGACGCACGTGTTGCCGGCACCGAGGAGGTCGTTGAACATCTTCACATCCTCCTCAGATGGCTTCGCGCCGCCCAGGAAAAGTTTACCCTTAAGCTTGCCCTCCAGCTCGCTGCTTTTCTTGCTGACGTCCTTGACAGACATATTTTTTTGCTGCTTTCGTTAAAAAAGAGAATGCTAGCTTGTGGAGGCGTGGGGGTGGGGGGAAGAAAAGAAAGACAAACTTGACACACATGTACTCACTTTGAGTGAAGCTATGACCACATTGGACCGCAAAAAAAAAAAAAAAATGCTGCACAGACACCAAAATCACACTCACTCCCTGGCGACCTTTCAGGCACACTTACGCAGCGTGCCGTGCCATAGCGGGAAAGGCGTCCATCGTCCTTAAAATGAGCTTCACCTGCTCCAAGAGGGCACCCACCGCCGACCGCAGCGACCTTTCCTGAACGGCCTCCAGCTTGACGTAGACTGTGGCCCGTGTGCTGTCGTCCGCCCAGAGCTGCACCTCCTTTGATGTCCCTGACACCGGCGGCTCGACGCGCAACACCTGCATCAGGATGTGTGCTGACTCTGCGCTCGGGAGAGGCAGTCGCAGGACACACTCCAGCGGCTCGTGAGTTTTCTCGACCGACTGCATGTCAACACGCTTCATCCCAACGCTTCCTTGGGTTCTTCTAACCCACCCGTGGCTCTTCCTACCTATTCAGCTGGTGCAGGCAGTCCTTCCTTCCTGCCTTACTCAGACCAATGATGCGGTCGAAGAACAAAACGAAAAAAAAAAAACGGTGATTTTCTCCTTTGCTGTTTCACAATGTGCCCTTCCGCAGAGAGAAAGGATTCGAATTGGGTGGAAGCACATCACCTTCTACAACAGCACCGAGCATATAAAAAAAAAACCAAAAGCATACACCACACAAGCACGACTCACTCCTGGCACACACTCGAATACACAGACGTATGCAGACACAAACACCACACCAGGCACATACACAAAATACGCACTGCCTTTGCCACCGCTACTATTAACTTGGCATCCTATCAACAGCCGTATGCAGAGAGGCTATCAGCGCATCGAGGTCATCACCATTCAGTTCCAATAACAAACGATCATTGGGAAGAAGCGTATATGTGGATGGGCGCTCCACATCAACTGACGGCAGTTTGGTGCTGTCGGTGGCAAGGAGCTGCACATTCGCAGACGCGAGTGTGGGGACCTGTGGACAAAGCCCGGCGGCCTTACCGACAGGAGCCACCCGGGCAACATCTACAAGAAGTTGCAACAGCGGTATGCCCCATCCACCACGGCCCTCTTTTTCGTCCTCTGCGGCTGTTTGTATGGCAACAGTGTTTACCGTCAGATTACGGATGGGAGCAGTCGAGAGGCGGTCTGTAGCGAGAACATACGACGCCTTCCAGTCAAAGTCAAGAAGAACCGCCACAGAGGATTCACACATTCCACGCCAGCATTTCAATTCTGCTATTTGGGGGCATATATATATATATATATATATATNGTGTGTGTGTGTGTAAAGACAGAGAGAAACAGAAAAAGCAGCGAAACTAAAACAGCACCAACGATGCTGCTGCTCCGGTAGACAAATAATGGGCAAAACTACGTTAAAAAAGCAACGGCAAAAAAGACAGCAATACTGGCGGTACGTGGGCGCATAGATGAAAAGGTGGATGAGTTGAGGCTCCAGCGTAGCTGCGCTACGGGGCACGCCCCAGTCCCAAGAACGGCAGTAAAGGACTGGGTGATAAAAAGCTCTGAGAACGGGATATTAAAACAGCACGAAGTAATTACATAAATCGAAAGACAAGAGGCAATGAATTAGCACAAAAAGCGCACAGGCCGGCTATAGCCCATCCGGTTTCTGCTTTGCCTCATTTCATCAAATTGATGGATCACCCAAGACAAGCACTGCTCGGGCCAGTGACGCAATGCTAAGAAAAAAAAAA